AAAGATCATGGCCATTGCATATGCTGAAGATGATCTTCAAAGCGTGCTGCTAGAATCCCTAGGTCGTGCGTGGCCTGTCTTTTGAACAGTGGGAATACGATTTAATTATCTAAGCAAATTGGAATGTTTAATTTTCATGATAATATTCGGCTGGAGGGTGGTGATTAAGGGGTAGAGGAGTAGACTTTTGTGAAATTACAACAAACCCTTTATTTTAACTGAAGAATCACAGAAACATAACCGGGAACTAAATTGGGATTGGAACAATATTAAGGGCTGCAAACATAATATTTGATAACTGTGGACTAAATATGGAAAATCCTTAGTTATAAAAGATCATTTATAGAATTTACTATTTTGTTTTCTATGTTAGTGACATATGCAACAACAACAATATCTAGCATAATTCAACTCCTTTGGGGTCTAGGGATCAGGTGTATGCATTATGCAACCTTACCAACAACAACAATAATAAATCCTGTGTAGTACTACAAGTGGGGTTGTAGGGAAGATAAGATGTAAGCAGAGTCGCAAACCTCACCTTCACCCGTGAGTGTGCTACAAAATGGATAAAACCAAAGTAGGTGTGCTACAAAATATCCTTTTAGATTAGAAGATAGAGAGGTTGTTTCCATTAGACCCTTGTGGCATTGTTGCATTTACTATCCAAACCTTCATAGATTATGACGAGTTCACCTATGACTGGTCGGTCATGGGTTTGAGTGGCATGGAGCTAAGTGTGGAAACACTATTGATACTCCTGGGGTGAGGGGGTGGGGTGGGCATAAGGGAAACAAAAATTAGATATGCATGTTATATTATATTACTATGATTTTGTGTGTATACCAGCAGTAAATGTAATTGTTAGTAATGTTAATCAAGCAGATTTTGGTAATCTGAAAATAATTGGGGATTTCTTTTGGAGTGCAGAGTAGTTTACGTTGGTTTCTATGGCTTTCCCCATGTTGGATGATACCCCCCCCCCACCACCATTCTTCCTAGTTTATTAACTCTGTCTAATATGATGGTTTGATCTTAATGTTATGCAGGAACTTTTTGCAGATATTGGAGATATGAAACGCTATGGAGTCCATTATGACAGGAGTGGTAGATCAAAGGTATATTGATATGTTAGGAAGAATTCAAATTTTTGGCTAGTCTTGCATATTCTTCGCTTGGTTGACAAAAAAATCAAATTGTCTAGGGAACAGCAGATGTTGTTTTCTCTCGCCGGCAAGATGCTTTAACAGCCATCAAAAGATACCACAATGTTCAGCTTGATGGACAACCCATGAAGATTGA